CATGAGGTCAATGAGAGATCAATAATAAAGAAGATTATCAAGGTTTTCTAGATAAGTAGACAAATGAAGATTAATAAGAATATGAAAGAAAAGATGATCCATTGAGATCTAGTAAAAATAAATAATGAATTAAACATATAATATGTAAGTTCAACAAATGATTGTTTGAGCACTTAAATAGAATCTTGTGGTATGGTGGAATCCCAATGAAAGATACATAAGTCAAACAATTGATGAAAATATTTAAATTCTATTTTTCTTTTTTTTTTGCTCAACTAAAATAAGATGTTAATATTAAAAGTTTATGGAACATGACATATATAAGAGACATTACTAAATACATCTAGTAGAAAAATTTATTGATTAATCACAAAACCATGAAACACGTCATAAATCATAAGAACAATAGATTAATTGTAAAAAAAAGTAAAATATTTTACGTAGAAGCAAAAATAGATAACAAAAACAATTAGAACAACATAACCAATAGTCAATAAAAATAGAAATTGATAAAAATATCTAACAAAAATATATAGCAATAGCAAGCACATGATCTTAACGTTGAATTGTTGAAGCACGAAAATAATCAAGCATATAAAGATAGCAATAGCCAATATCATTGGACCTTGTTGGAGATAAAAAAAATTTATTGGGACAATAAACAATAGCATATAATGAATGATCAATTAATTTTTTTTATTTTCCATCTCCAATGTAATTAGTTGATATATTTTTGGGCCCTTATTATCTACTAAATTATTTTTGTCTCTTATTATATGCTACAATTTTTTGGTTTCTTTAATTTATTAAATTATTTTAGACTACTATATACTTTAAGGGGGGAATTTGGGCCCCTTATATTTTTGTCCCTGGGGCAGGCGCCCGTGCCGCCCTCCCACAGGGACGGCCCTGATTGTATATGGAAAAACGATTGGGTGAATATGACAATGGCTGAGAATTATATTTGGTATAGGTAAGAACGAAGAGATGACTTAGAGTCTTATCCAAATGAATTTTAGCCGGTTAACAATTACCGATAGTTTGTTACATACGATACCGTTTTAATAAACTAAAATCTAATTCGATAAGATAAGTGTGCACATGAATGTTTGGATAAACGGCCCTTCGTCCATACACATAGTTACAAATAAAATTTTGGGATATCAAAGTTGCAAATGATCTTTGATTTTCCATGTAATAAGCAATTTTAACCAAAAAGTTGAAGATAAGGACCAAAGCTTCTCGACAAATACAAATACAGGGTTGATCTGGTGATGCCGTCGATGGACAATGGAGTGCTTACAAATTGCATTTGTGACGAAAGAGAGAGTGCAGAAGCCTGATGTTATGGTTGTAAATCAGGTAATGGGTTTCATTTTCATTTTTTTGTGGTTGTGTCTACCAAGTGTTTGATATAATGCCTAGTCTGTTGTGGGAAATAAGGGAAGTGGTTGGAGGGTGTTTGTGAGTTCCATACAGTTTTAAAGGCTCTGATGAATACCGCCAACTCTGATCAATCAATGAATCTCTGGACACATGAAAAATTAATGCAGATGATGATCAGAAACTGTTGGAAATTTCCAAAAATTTAATTAGCTTTCAGCCTTTTCACAGCTTCATTAATACATTCTGAATAGAATCATGATGTTAATGCATCCCTAATGTTTGATATTGACTTTTCATCTCTCTCATGTCCTTGTCACAGTTGCAAACTTGAATATCCTTCTTTCTCCTTCAACCTAGGACTAGGAGCTTTGAAAACTTTCTGGATGATTCAAGTATCAATCAATTTCAAGCATTTCATTGAAAAAGAAACCCATTTACAACCATTACTCCAAGAACATCTTTTATTAATCCAATAATTGATCATATATACATACATACATATACACACACACACACATATATATATATATACTAGTTGTGTACCCGTGCAATGCGACGGGAGCCATGAATTTTAACGATTTTGAAGTTCCATTGGTTTTATAAGATAAGATTTAACGATGATATATGTTACAATTGATTTTTACATATTAATACAATTTGAATAAATAAGAGTTATAGTTTCAATTACAGACTATCGATGAAAAAAATTGTATGACAATTTAAAATCCAATATATTTAAAATCCAACATATTTAGACGACTCCACAAATGTGTTCGATTTACACCAAGAGCAAAGAACCAAGAAACTTGAGTTTTAAGATAAACACTTAAAACCAATAAAGAAAACTACAAATTTGACAGATGATAAGCCATGAAAAGACAAAAAAAGATGGGTTTTAGAATGAAATTTCAATTGCTTACCCTCTTTCTTGTCTAAAAACTCAGATTAAGGTTGAATTAATACATG